CCCCCCCTACCGCCGTTCGGGGAAGAGGTGCCCGTGGTCGTCCAGGCGGCCTATCAAGTCGCGCGCCAGTTGGTGCGCGTTCTGCGATATCTGTACACCCTTGCCGTTGAACGTCTCGCAGTTCTGAGGGATGAGGTTGATGTCTCGCAGCAGCAACTTGCGGCCCTGGACAGAGGGAACACCAAGAGGGAGGGAGGGAGGGAGGGAGGGAGGGAGTATGCGCGATTAGAACCGTGAAGGAAGACTACAGCCGTCCGGTAACGCGAGGACAAACAACACGGCCAAGTCTCAACACCTGGGAATGACAAAAAGACGAGGATTCTCCACAACAGTTCGTCCATGGACTTAACTCGTTTCGGGGCAACGCACGCACGCACGCACTCCCGGCACACCCGCACCCCAACACGGGCCCCGGCCCCCCACCTCTTGAGAGTCGTACTCTCCCTGGCGGAGCTTGAACAAAATCCTGGCCAGGTCCATTGGCTCCTTCACGATGTCTGTGTACTGCGGGTACGCCACGAGGTCCACGGCGTCCCGGAAGTGCAAGGTATACGCCTCCTTCGAGGACCTCTTCACCGCGGATCGCACCACCCTCCGGAACTCGCGCACGTCACACAGCAGCACCACTTCCTCCGCCACGCCCCGCCGCAGCTCGTCCTTGAGCGGGAGGGGAGCGTTCCGGCCCATCCGCACCACCTTGCTCTTCTTCGCCCCGCGCCCGCCGCCTTGCCCGCCGCCCCTCGCCGACGCTGCGTCTTCGTCGCTATCGACGTCGTTGTCCTCGGCGTAGTTGACGCGGGCGACCCCCCGCCGCTGCCTATCTCGCCCGCCAGAAGACAAGAGTGCGCCGCCACCGCCGCCGCCGCCGCCTCCGTCGTCGTCCACCGATTGCTGCCGCCGTCGCTTACGGCTCCCCCGGGGGAGGGCTGCCGCAGGTCGGCGCTTTGAGCACACAACGCACTTGTCGTCGGCCAGCTCATTGTCGACGGTGCAGGTGGGGCACGACCAAGTGGTCGGGGCCAAGGCGTCGTCGTCGACGCCGTCGCCGCTCTCGGCGGACGCCGCTGCCGCCGCCGCCGCCTCTGCAGCCGCCGCCACCGCCGCCGTCTTAAGCCGTTTGTTGCCGCCGCTCGATTTCGATCGCCGGTTGTCGGCCGCCGAAGCGCCCCGCCGCCGCTTTTGGGTCTCCTCGCCCGCTTCCTCCTGCTGCTGCGAGATGCGGTTCTGATACCGCCGACCACGCCCCGCTGCCTCCTCTTCCTCCTCTTCCTCCTCCTCCTCCTCATCATCCTCTTCCCACGAACCCGGGGACAAATCTCTGCTACCCCCGCCTGATGTCTTCTTCGCCGGTCGCCCACGCCGGGGAGGCTTCCGATTCCGCCCGTCGTCCCCTCTCCCCTCTGCCGCACGGCTAGTTCGCGACTGGCGGCCGCGCGGCTTGGAAGGCGTCATGCCGGCGGCCCGGAGGGATGTTCGAGAGCTCCTCCCGAGGGCACGGGCGGCCTTTGTGTCGCCGCCGCCACGGGAGCTTGCTGATGAGCGTCCTCGGAGCTGGATGCCGTTGCGGAGGCGGGAGCCTCGTTGCGCCCTCGTCGCCACCTGGTGGGTGTATGTGTGTGGGTGTGTGGGTGTGTTTTTTTTGTGTGTGTTGGCGCTAACCGGCTGACAAATGAAGATAAGTCAGTCTTGTAGTAGCGGAACAAAAAATGAGAACACTCTTCCAATTCAAAGGGTTGTACCGACAGCGATTGGACGACAGCATTGTCCTGCTTCTCAACGAGTACAGGAAGGCTCAATCCTATCTCTGTGCGTGTGCTTTTGATTGTGGCACGAACGGTCATCCGTAGACCTCTACAGAAAAACGGCAAAACCAACACATGCAAAAGAAACGAACGTCTAGAATAGACATGAACAGACATGCATGGAGATGGAGCCCGCAGTCAGTGAATATACGCTCTTCCCCTCCCCCTCACGCGCACCTTATCATAGAGAATGGCTCGGTCCAGTGCAAACAGACGGAGGGCAACGGCTGCCGGGGTGGATAGCCTCAGCAGGTGCCACGCCGATTGCATCTTCTGCTGCGCGGGGCGGTACCATGGCTTCAGCCACTTCTGGTCCAGGCACAACTCCAGCAGCAGCAGGGCCTCCATCAGATCCTGCTCGAAAAAACAACGAAAAACAGAAAATATGGGGGTGGTATGAGGGGCGTAGACAACTGGCTTAGCTAGATTTGTCACACCACGTGAGACCTAACGCGCAGCGGTTAGCATCAGTGCCGAACGTTCATCGGCGTGGACGCTGTACATGGACGTTACTTACGCACCCAGCATGCCTCCGATGTACATGTCAGCACGCACAACTTTGCTTGCAATGGCCGCGTTCTACAGCCATAAGAAAATGCATCCCATGCGTCCCTCGTCGAGATTTGCAGGTGCAACCAGTTTAA